GGTGGAGAGGAGGATCTGTCATGGGAGCTTCACCCGCACGCTCCACTGGATTGGCAAGTAGTGCCCCCTCTCTACCTTCCCAGTGGTGTTGGGCGCGGGTGCTCCATGGGGTGGTCGGTCCTACGGGGTCCCATCTCACCCCTATCCTCCCCCCAACCCCCCTTCTCACCACACAGCAACACTCTAGATGACCTCGCGGGAGGGGTTGCTGCCGGTCACAGTGATGGCGTGGGCTTGGGCAGTGGGCTTGTGTATTAACCAAGTCCTGGTAGTGTCGGGCCCCCTCTCAACCTGCCTCTTCTCCCCTCCTGCATTGCGGTCTGGGCAAACCTGGGGCTGGGGGGGGCCTTTGCCCTGCTGTGGGGAGTTACCTGTGCTGTTTGGCAGGCCTACCTAAACTTGGGGGGGGCGTGGGCCGTGCTGCCATGCAGCTCGGACGGCCAGCAGTGGTGGCCTCTAGTGTCCAGTGTGTTGGCCATTTTATTGGTGTCTGTCTGAGAAGCTCAGGTGACAGAGGCTGGCTGGAAGAGGTCCTTGGTGGCCATTTTCTCAGAGTCCGCAGGTGGGACATCCTTTTGTACCTGGGCTTTTGGGGGCTGTGGTCTGATCATCTTTTGTGCGGGTCAGACGGTTTGTCTTAACTGTTCAGACAGCGTGTTCTGTTGAAAAATCGTTTACTCCCTGCCACCCATAGAACAGAACAGGCTCTGTCCTTGTCTGAGAAACCGAGTGGACACAGATGTCATCCTCCTACTCTGATCGGTGGGGGATCTGTAAGCTGATCCCCTGCTAATCAAAAGGAATCTGCCCTGTGTGAAAGGGGCCTTATACTGTGATTACTGCCATTAGTGGTGATTAGAACCTTTCAAAGACACCATTATTAACCACTTCAAGTCCGGACACGTTCACCCCCTTCCAGTCCAGGCCAATTTTCAGCTTTCAGTGCTATCACACTTTGACAATTGCGCGGTCATGCAACATTGTACCCATATTAATTTTTTACCATTTTTTTGAGACCGATAAAACTTTATTTTGGTGGTATTTATTCACCACTGGGATTTTTATTTTTTTGCTATATAAATGTTAGTCCTTACGTCTGATTCTTTGTCTATGTATTGCTATGTATCTTTTTGTTTGCTGTATGTGCATTACCTCCTATTGTATTTCAGACTGATACCTTGTATTACCTGTACTTATTGTATGCTCTGAGTTTATTAATAAACTTTATGGGGGGGGGGAATGAAAGTCCAAAAATTAAAAAAAAGTGTTTTTATTATTAAATTTTGCAAATATTCTTTATTCTCAAATCTTGGCTAAAATGTATTCATCTATCTTTTTAGTAAAAAGAAAAATAACCCAAATTAGTTTATAACCCAAAATTTATAATTTTTTCAACTTTTTTTTTTTTTTTTTAACATACCGTCACCCTAGCAGTACAGTGTCACCATAGTGACACTGTACTACTTGGGGATGATGATTTTTTTTTCTTTTTTTACACTGATTGCTTTTACACCCATAAAGGCTGTAAAATCAATAATTTCTCCTGTATGGCTGCATTCCTGCAGCCATTGAAAAATACTGTGAGAGCTGTGGTTGGTCACAGCTTGTCACATGGTATAAGTCTGTTGTGAGTAGCCCTGTACCATGTGACCTCTGTGATCATTCACAGATTTCACTAGTAGTAAGCAATGATTGTCAGAACGTGACATCGTGTTTACTACTATTCATGTGATCACTGATTGGACAATCAGGGATCACGTGAATCGGGACCTCACACAGAGATGTCCCATACAGCGATCGGTGTGCCGCTCCCAGGGAGCACGCACAGGCAATGGATGCAGGGGGACGTTTAGAAACATCCACCCGCTCCGGCAGTGCTCCCGTCTGGCCGTTTATACACATGGGCCGGATGGGAAGTGGTTAATTATTACGTCAGAAGTTCGCATTGATGAAAAATAGTTATTGTAGATTGAATGTAGGAAGCATAATATAGGTTGTAGCATAGGGAGTAGACAAAGTAGGCTTTCCATGTTGGAAGCTCACACAGTAGTATATAGATTCTTATGCAGTAAGGGTTTGTTCACACCAGGTGTGGTGTGGGAATGTGCATGAAATCTTGCATTTTCCTGCACTGTAGGAAAACGTGTTGTCTTCTGCAGATGCACTCGAGTGCCATTAATTCTTGAGATTGCCACTCATGCATCTGCAAAACATGACTGTGTAAATGCCTGCCAAGATGCACTTTTACTTTTTACTATTCTAGGAATTTCACCTAAGGCTTAAAGTGTTACTAAACCCTTGACCCTGCTTTCATTATATCTGGTCTCCCACAGTACAAACAACATGGAAATGCAATTATTTTAGTAAATATAAACTGCTAAATACCTTTTCTCATCAGCAGTATAAAGCAGTCTTGTGACATCTATCAGTGTCCAGACGACCACTGGTTAATCTTGTAGTAGATTTCATTTTACTCTGACTGTCTTAATGAGGTTGCATAACCCCTGACCCTCTGTGCGGGTCACATGCTTTAGCAATACACACCAAACTGAGCATGTGCAGGGCGACTCCTAGAGCTCTGTACTGTCCAGATAGATTGGGGACAGTAGAAGTAGGGGAGGATCAGAAAAGACCAGACTAATTGTAGAGGTCACTGCAGTGTAGTATTTTATTCATTACAGGTACTTTATTTAGTGCTTTCAATTGACGCAGTGCTTTACATAATTATTATACATTCATATCAGTCCCTGTCCTCATAGAGCTTACAATCTAAGGTTCCTAAACTCGCATTCATCCATCCTAGGACCAATTTAGAAGGAAGCCAGTTAACCTACCAGCATGTCTTTGGAGTGTGGGAGGAAACCACACTACCTGGAGGAAACCCACACAGGCACAGAGAGAACATGCAGACTCCATGCAGGTAGTGCCGTGGTTCGGATTCAAACAGACGGCCCTAGTGCTGCTAAGCAGAAATGCTAACCACTTAGTTGTTAGATCTGAAAACAAATGTGAAAAATTGCAGTAACGCAAGCTACAAAAATAATAAAAATAGGTTTGGTCTCTAACCAGGGCCAAACCCCTGGCCAGGATAGGCTCAATATCAGATGACAAAAGCCTACCCCAGTGGTGACAGCCACGTGCCAGCTAAATGCAAGAAATGCCACTTCCAGGAAGATTGTGAGCACTCTTTAAAAAGGACAGGCCTTGGCCATTCTCTTTCAGACTTCTGGCTTCCTTGTCCCATATAAAATCTTTTCTTTATGATGTATTTTGCATTAAGCTCCCTTGGGACCTCAAACGTGTTTTCTCTGCCCTACAGAAACTACCCTTTTGAACCCTTCAGGATTATTTCCTTAGAAGGCCTTTCCTGCAAAGTAGCCTACTTAGTTGCCATCTCATCTGTTAGCGGTGTCTCTGATTTGGCAGCCCTTTCCTGTAAGGAGCGGTTTCTCATAATTCACAACATTGTCTTACTCCCAAAACCATCAGTTATTCCCAAGGTGGTATCAGTCTTCCATCTCAATGAGCACATAGTCCTATCATCCTTTTGTCCTGCTCCAAAGCAGCCAAAGGAAATCTCTCTTCATTGTCTGAATGTAGTCAGAGCCAATCCAAGTCTATCTCAAAGCTGCAGCTTTAAACAGATGAATTCCCCATTTGTCTTGTCATCAGGACCTTACAACGGACACCCAGCGTCCTTCACCAGATATAAAAGAAATCTGATCACTGGAGCTTTACAGTCTCTAGGTCAAATCTCCTCCTGTGCTTCTACTGGCCCATTCCACAAGATTTCTGGGACCTTCCTGCACTGGGCCTCTGTGGCCTAGCTGTGTAAGGTTGCCACCTGATCCTATGTTCATACTTTTCCAAAGTTCTACCAGGATGCATGTCCAAACTTCTGTGGATGCTGTTTTCATCTGCATGGTTCTTGCAGTGGTTGAATGTGTTGGCACAATTCTGTTTTTGTCTAGTTGTTGTGTTACCTTCTCATTCATTGCTTGGGGATGTCCCATGGTCTAGGAATGCATTGCCTCTGTCCTGTAAGGTACAATGAAGAGTAATTTTGAATTGCCTATAAATTCCATATCTTGGATTACAGTACCAGACACAGGCTACCCTTCTTCCATTGCTTGGTTACTCTGCATTGCTTGCTACAAAGCTGAGGAATAATGGCGTGAGGTGGGTTTTTGGGGAGGCTCCCAGTGGGTATGGCTTCGGAAGCTTGCCAGTGCACAGTCATTTGAGAGAATGAACCTTTAACCCAAGGTCTATACATATTTGTTTCCGTACTGTACTCAAAGGTATGGAATTTACAGGTAAATCAAAATTTCTCTTTTTTGACAACCTCACTTGAAAAATCTCCTTTCATGTTGTGAGTGCTGCCTGTCTACTGGGCATCTCTTACCACAACTTCCTGGATTCCCAGCATGATTTGCAACGTCTCCTTTTCTCATTTCGTTGGGTTACTTTCAATTTCTAAGGACTACATATCCCATGGTACTTTGCTGACTGCAAGCAATTATTCCTGAACTGACTCCGCCTCTTGAATCTCCAACTGTCAGCAACTATGTAATTTAGAAGGCAGGTTCTGTGAATTTTGTGACACTGAAGTGCATATTAACAGGGCACAGTAAATATGTACCACAGGATTCAAGGACGTAAATGAAACTGAAAATGCGTGAACAGTTAGGCTTTTTTTTTATTAAACTACAAATAAAGGATTCATATGTTCCTGTCCACAATGATCTTCAAAATGTACACAGAGCTGTGCATCTCAGTGTACACTTTCAGTGTCTGCTTGGGGGCGTCCTATCACTGAAGGGGAGGTAAGGATAATTCAATTTTAATATCACTTAGCTGTATATAGTTGTTTTCTTATTTCTGTCTATGCATGGTGCTTTACAACTCTGTTATGCATGTAACCTTTCAGGAAGGCATCTGACAAATATTTTATCAAAAGATCTGTATTGTTTTCTGTTAATTTCAGATAAGCAGAAGAAATGTCATCTCCGTCTAAATCTCCTGTCGGTGCCCCTTCCAATGGTTCTCCAGTATCTCCTCAGTTTTCAAAGACCCTTAATTTACCAGATTCTCGACGAACTAGAGATCGCTCTCCATCTCCAATGAGAGGCCACCTTATTCCCAGCCCACTTCCAACTAGACGTACAAGAACATTTTCTGCGTGAGTAATAGCTATTTGTTTTGTATTTTGTCTTGATTAGCCCAGTGACATGCATGCTTTTACAGCATTTACAGTTCTTATAAACTTTTTTGTTTTCTGATTCTTGTATGCAGCAACCTATAGCTATGAATCCGAATTTGCAGTGCTGAAATCACGGCTGTACAAGTTGGATTTGATCAGTTGTTTGTTTTGTGTTAGTGAACTTAAATTTGAACTTTAGGCAAACCGCTAAATACAGAGATGAAATACTTAAAAATGAACTGTTTTTTACCTGACAAAGGATTTGCATTTCTACCTCCTTTTGGTTTTGAGATGTACCCAATTTTTTCACGCAGCACTGTTCTGTCTGCCAGAGCAGGAGACCTCCTTTTCCTCTACTGCAGTTCAGTAACACTTTCAGGTCTCCTCCTCACCTTGTCAGGCAGTGAAAGAAGCAGTAGACTGATGAGCTCATCCCTGTCGGTCTGCTCTCTCCACCTTGCATTGAAACACACAGGGCAGCCATCAGAAATTTTGGGACCCTTTACACAGCTTTAGACCTGGGTCCCCCTGGCCCTGACCATCAACATTCCCCAGGGCCCACCAACTGGCCATTCCATGAATCCACCCACTGGCAATTCCATTGAGTCTTTCAATGCACCCACTTCTACAACTCTTACAACTTAATATATGAAAGTGAAAATTGTATTCCAAGTCATCAGTGCTTTCAAGATTTAACAGTAAGGAATTAAATTTTGTCCAAAAATATGAAGCCTGCCACCACGACAAGGTGGGTTACCTCCTCCTGCTTTCAAAAAGCACACTGATCCCACAGGATATAACAGAAGTCTATGGCTCAGTGCAGCTAACCTGCAGGACAGTTGCAATGCGCTGCACCTGCGGATCAGTGTTTTTTTTTGTTTTGTTTTTTAAATAGGTGCTAATATGCCCATTGCAAAAGTGCAGTGTATGTAATATTTCATACACTGACTTTTTCTTCTTCCAGCTTCTACTGGCATAGCTCTCCAGACTGCTATAAAGGTTCCAGGCAAAGTGCACTTGGTATCACTCTGCCTGGAACAGGAGTTGGCGCTACATAGAATTATTAGCTTATGCGGCTCCTGCTCCCTCTTCCAGGCTGCCTGCTTCCACTGCTACCAGCTCCATGCTCTGGGATATCAGGTCGGCAACATGTTGATAATCTGGGCTTTCTCACCTGCCATCCCAGAGCACCTGAGATACACCCCTGATATATGAATACTTACATTGGTACCAACTGGCCAAGTATGTAATAAATATGTCTGGAACAACAACATACAAAATAAATTTTACACACACACACGCAGACTGCTTCTATAAACATTTGTGAAAAAATGGGTCGCTCTCAGGAACTCAGTGAATTCAAGCATGGTACTGTGATAGGTTGCCACCTGTGCAGTAAGTCCATCCATGAATTTTCCTTGCTGCTAAATATTCCCCGACCAACTGTTAGTGGTATTATGACAAAGTGGAAGCAACTGGGAACAGCAGCAACTCAGCCATGAAGTGGTAGGCCACGTAAAATGAGCGGGGTCAGCGCATACCAAAGTGCACAGTGCACATAAGTCGCCAACTGTCTGCAGAGTCAATAGCTAAAGACCTCCAAACCTCATGTGGCCTTCAGATTGGCACAACAACAGTGCGTAGAGACAATATATACCAAGGTAGTGCGGCGCTATATAAACCTCATGAGATGTCAAATCAATTCAAAAAATGAGATGGCAAGAACAGGTCACATAAAAAATATCAATACCAATTCCACACACTAAACAATAGGTAAGTGCTGGTAAGGACACACTCCCCCTCCTAGATCCTCAACTGAGGGATCATTAATCAGTGCAAAACAGTGTGTGCATCCCTTGGGGGATGAAGTAGTAACACTAACTACTGAACAATACTACAGCACTCCAACCCTACTTAAATATGGATGCTGTAATATAAATAGTCCACATAAATGGCATAAACACACACACACACACACACACACACACAATTCTTGTGCTTGGGCTGGTAACGTGCCAATCCTCAGTAGCTGGAGTTCCTGCTCAGGCCCCACAGGACCAATGACCCTTATGAACCACTCAAAACACGATCCTCCCAATCCTGGGTAGTCTTCTTAGTAATGATGGTGGTACTCTTTTCCTCCTTTTATACTAGTTGCATCTCCAGCCACTGATGACACTCCTGCGTATGTAACTCTCCTTACACTGCCCCAGTAATAAGACAGAGAATGGCCAACATAGTGTAAAACTGTTTGATACATACAAAATGAATAAAAAATGCCCACTCACGTGTAGAGAGACACAGTCAGGCTTTCACACCACACTATGGGTGTACATGGATGAACAAACAGGTGCACCAAGATGGCGCCCGCGCCGGACAGGATATCACCGCGCACCGGAAGCTCCTCCTAGCGTATATACACGTTGCGTCACGATCTGTCACGTGACTTCCTCAGGATATACGCCTACACTGACTGGAGCTTCCTTTTATCTCCCCCCCCCCCCCCCCCCCCCCAGCCAATCCTTTTCTAGGGGGCGGAAGTTCGGCGGCCATTGTATTGTAGCCGCATACTGCTAATGTAAGGAGCGATGTATTGTAGCCGCATACTACTAATGTATGGAGTGATGCGGTAGTGAAATCCCTCTACATGTTCCGGACCCTGACTAATACAGGAATACATAATGTACGCGTGTGAACTCTGATAAATCCTATACCTAGGGATGTACCTAGATAATTGGGCCAAATGTGAGATGTGACAGTGTGTAGAGAGCTTCATGGAATGGGTTTCTATGGCCGAGCAGTGGCATCCCAAACCTTTCATCACCAAGTACAATGCAAAATGTCAGATGAAGTGGTGTAAAGCACACCGCCACTGGACTCTAGAGCAGTGGAGATGTGTTCTCTGGAATGACGAATCACGCTTCTGTCTGGCAATCCGATGGACATATCTGGGTTTGGTGGTTACCAGGAGAACGGTACTTGCCTGATTGCGTTGTGCCAAGTGTAAAGTTTGGAGTAGGGATTATGGTGTGGGGTTGTTTCTTCAGGGGTTGGGCTTGACCCCTTAGTTCCAGTGAAGGGAACTCCTTAAAGCGTCAACATACCAAGACATTATGGACAATTTCATGCTCCCAACTTTGTGGGAATAGTTTGGGGATGGCCCCTTCCTGTTCCAACATGACTGCGCACCAGTGCACAAATGAAGGTACATAAAGTCATGGATCGAGTTGGGGGTGGAGAAACTTGACTGGCCTGCACCTCAACCCAATAGAGCACCTTCGGGTTAGAGTGAGGACTGTGAGCCAGGCCTTCTTGTCCAACATCAGTGCCTGAGCTCACAAATGCGTTTCTGGAAGAATGGTCAAACATTCCCATAGGCACACTCCTAAACCTTGTGGACAGCCTTCCCAGAAGAGTTGAAGCTGTTATAGCTGCAAAAGGTGGACCAACTCCATTTTTGAACCCTATGGATTAAGACTGGGCTGCCATTAATGTCCATGTGCATGTAAAGGCAGGCGTCCCAATACTTTTGGCAATATAGTGTGTGTGTGTGTGTGTGTGTGTGTGTGTGTGTGTGTAATATATACACAGACAGTGCTCAAAAAAATGAAAGGAACACTTTAAAAACACAGATCTCAATGGGGGAAAATATCATGCTGGATATTTATACTGATATGGATTAGGTAAAGAATGCTACATCGTTTTATGGAAATAAAAATTATCAACCTACAGAGGACTGAATTCAAAGACGCCCCGAAAATCAAAGTGAAAAAATGATGCAGCAGGCTCGTCCATTTTTCTGAAATTTTCATTGCAGCAACTCAAAATGGTACTCAGTAGTTTGTATGGCCCCCCCAAGTGCTTGTATGTATGTCTGACAATTTCTGGGCATGCTCCTAATGAGAAGACGGATGGTGTATCAATTCCTTCATCCTCCAGGATCTGCCTACATACTCTCGCCACATGAGACCGGGCATATTCGTGTACCAGGAGGAACCCAGGACCCGCTGCACCAGCGTAGGGTCTGACAATGGGTCCAAGGATTTCATCCTGATACCTAATAGCAGTCAGGGTACCATTGTCTAGCCTGCAGAGGTCTGTGTGTCCCTCCATGGATATGCCTTCTCCAGACTCATTCACATCTGTCACATGTGCTCAGGGTGAACCTGCTCTCATCTGTGAAAAGCACAGATGGTGACCCTAGAAGCACAACTTATTGGCTTCTCGTGCTGCTTATCCCTCCCTCAGTCTAAACTCTGCTGTATGAGGGCTATAAGAGGCTGATAGCATGTCAAATTCATGTACACTGATTGCATAAAAAAATGAATACAGAGCTGCTATTCCATGTTTCTTTTATATGGCGGGAGTCCAGCCTTGAAGGTAAGAGAAACCCATAGATGAACAGACATTTTAATGTTTTTCATAACATGTAAATATGGGTATGATTTTTCTTTGCATCTCCCTTTCAATATCCATGATTACTTTGTGTGTGTGTTTGTCACAGCACGGCAAGAGCATCTGAAGGACCAGTCTACAAAGGTGTTTGCAAAAATTTCTCCCGCTCTAAGGGACACGGTTTTATTATACCTGAAGATGGAGGGCCTGATGTATTTTTACATATCTCTGAGTAAGTGCTTTGATATAATGTACTTGTGCGACACACGGACATTACTGTTTATAATAAATACAGTGATGAAATGTGGTCTCAGTCTGGCAATATTATGGCCCATATTTAATATCCCATGATTACAATGCAAAATTGGATCTGGGCTTGTTCCAGGTCAGTAAAGATTATTCTTATTAGTACTATATATTATCCTATATACAGTATGTCATGGGTTTGCAAGCTCTATGAACACCTGCTTCATGTTAGAAATGTTTCACTATGAATCTAATGTAGTGCATTGTCTGTACATCTATTTTCTTGTTTTGTTCTGGATTTATTTGATTATAGAGCAGTAAATAATTTTGTTTTATAGATAATGCCTTTGTGTGCATGTGGATTGTAGATTTTAAAAGAGAACTGAATGTATGCCTAAATGCACAATATATAACTTGACATTAACATTTGATAGGTAGTACCAGGAGTTCCAAGGAATAGCTGATTTATTTTTTTTTCCTCAAAATTGTTTTTTTGGGTTTTTTTTTTCATAGCACAACAAATAAAAACCGCACAGGTGATCAAATGCCACCACAAGAGAGCTCATTTCATGGGAGAAAAAAATGATGTAAAATTTCACTTGGGTGCAGCGTTGCATGACTGCACAATTGTCAAAGTAACGCAGCACCGTAATGCAAAAAATGGCCTGGTCAGGAAGGGGGCTAAATCCTCAAGAGGGCAAGTGGTTAAATATGTTCAGTTAAAAAATGTACCGTATTTTTCGCTTCATAAGATGCACCTTTTTAGAGGAGGAAAACAAAAATTAAATTGTGAACCGATGGACTGCGGACATAGTACAGGAGATGACCAGAGACTGCAGTGATAAATAGCCCGTTGCGGGTAGGGCACCTCATGCGCGACCCCTACCCGGACATGCAAAATCACGTATGTATACATGCCGCCCTGTAGCAGTATTTGTGCTATTGGGCAGAGCTGAGCTGGTTAAATTATCTTAATCAAAACATTGTACAAAGTATAAACCCTCTTCAAGTCATTGTATTATAGATGCACCTTTAAAGCCCCTCTCTAGGATAAACCTGCCTGTTTCTGTGAGGCCAGGACCACTGGAGGATGCAGGGGCTTTCAGAATGGGTAGAGGAGATCAAGGAGCTGTGAGATCCCAGGTGTACTGGCCAGGCATACAAAGCAGATCAGGGACTCGGACTTGACCTGCTTGAACTAGTGGCAGGCGAGAAAGTGGGGGTTTAATTTGCAGGGATCTGGGAACAATGCTAACTGATAACAGTCATCAGGAACAAAAAGTTGAGTTATCGGCTCACAAGATTTCTGGCAAGTAAAAATGGTGTTTCTTTGCACTTATTAAAACAGATAAAGCCAAACACTTTATTTGATATATTTGAGTAACCAAGAGGAAACTAATTGTGCATTGTTAGGGTTTACATACACTTTAAAACTACCATGATCCAGTGACAATGAAACCTAAAAAGCTTGCTACTGTTGCATTGTTATTGCTGCATATCATTTACTTGCCAACAGTAACTCATTTTAGTGAATATTCAGCTGTAACCATTTTATTCTAGATCCCATGAGACACTTGATGTAAAGGGGGATTCTGATGGGACACCTGATGGGTGTTTATTATCTATTTTTGTAACGTTATTCTGCATAAAACATTTAACAGTGTCATTTCATGAGATAATTGACAAGGGTGTGTTTAGGGGTACGGTAGGGATTGGGTGGGGCAACTGATGGTGAGTAACTCTGGCTAGTAGCTCAGGACTTGAAATTTTGAGCCCTGCTGACTGTATGAGTGGTGGGGCATGCTGTTTCTGAAATGAATTTCAGGTTTCCCATTCCTAGGTAGACACTTTTTTTCAACTATTTCAAAAACATTGTTTTGCTTGTAACTGATGCTAAACAAGTCTCAATATCTAGGGTAGTTCTCACATTTTTTTTTTTCTCTGTGTTCTGTTTTTCTCACAACAGTATTGAAGGAGAATATGTCCCTGTAGAAGGAGATGAAGTGACGTACAAGATTTGCACCATTCCACCCAAAAATGAGAAACATCAAGCTGTAGAAGTTGTAATCACCCATTTAGTTCCAGGAACAAAGCATGAGACGTGGTCTGGACATATCATTGATTCCTAAATCTTTCATCGGCATCAACTGCGATTGACATGCCATGGGATTTTTTTTTATAATTTTGCTACTATTGTTTAACATCATAGGTTACTGCAAAAAGTGGCCACTAGTAATTAAAAGAAGATATAGTAGAGTCTACACAAAAGTTTTCTGGTGGTCCCAAACTATCATTAATTGTCATTCCTACAACTGAATTGTAAAACCAGGTGTTAGATAAGAAACTACTCCTGAATGTTGTCTAATTTTCAGGGCTTATCTAGTCCAATATTTTTATCTGGGCACCATATTTGGTTATATACCTCCTTCACTTGATACATACTGACATCTTTGCAAGAGACTAAAATATATTTTAGTACTGTGGATTTGTTTTCACTGAATGCTCTAAATAAACTAGAAATATCTCTAAACCATATTTGTCGTCAATAAAAACGTGAAAGTCGTGTTTAAGAAAAAAAAAAAAAAAGTTTATCCAAATAATTGCTATTGGCTAAGGAAAATGTATAAATTTATTACATTTTACCACGCATCTTCAAAGACCGCAAGAACCTAGAGAAGGCACACCTAGCAGTAAACAAAAGCTGAGATGAATAATTCTGCATACAAAGTTATCAGTTCTGTTTTGTGATGACCTCTCATCACCTGGCAGTGGGGATATTTCTCTTATCCTGGCTCCTGGACCTTATGGTATGTTGAGTTTTCCTCCTCTGGCAGCATACCAGTACCCTGGGGGCAGTTTCTAACTAGATGTTGAAATGTATTCATATGTTTCATTAAAGTGGAAGTATGTGCAAAATAAAAGCACATCTTTTGCAGTTTTTCACTAACATTACCACAATACAGTACCTTGAAAAAGTATTCATACCCTTTGATATTTTCCACATTTTGTCATGTTACAACCAAAAACGTAAATTCATTTTATTGGGATTTTATATAAATTGGCACTTAATTGTAAAGTGGAAAGAAAATGATAAATGGTTTTCAAAATTTTTTAGAAATATCTGAAAAGTGTGGCGTGCATTTATATTTAACCTCCTTTACTCTGATACCCGTAACTAAAATCTAGTGGAACCAATTGCCTTCAGAAGTCACCTAATTAGTAAATACGAAGAGTCCACCTGTGTGAAATTTAATCTCAGTATTAAACATTACATCAGTTTGTAATGAGTTTTAGCAATACTGGCCTTATGTGCGCCCTCCAGCCTCCGAAGACGGTTCATGAGAGCATCTACTTGGGAGGAGCATTCCATTTTGAGTTTGGCAGATATAGAAATCAACAAACCGCGAAGGATGGGCTTATGTGCCTCCCACAACGTGTAGGGGTTGGTAACTGAGGCAGCATTGAAAGCTAAGTATTCCTTGTTTGAGTGTTCGATAGCTTCCTTAACCCAAGCGGATTGAAGGATGGCTTCATTTAAGCAACAAGATGGAGCGCTGCGATCACATGGTCCCAAAGTCAATTCAAGGAAAACTGGAGCGTGATCAGAGAAAGTGAAGTTACCAATTAACTAGGTTTAAACTCTGAGGAGGTCTTTCTGTTGAACAAAAAGGTAATCTAGGCGTGAGTACGTCTGATGAACTGAAGAGTAATAGGAGTAGTCTTTTGTGTTAGGGTGTAGAATGCGCCACGGGTCAACTAAATGAAGTAGATGAAGTTCAGCCTTCAGGCACTTAAGACAGGTTAACGAGAGATGGGAGGATTCCTTAGAAACATCTAGGTGTGGTTCCAGTGCGAAGTTGATATATCCGCCGAAGACAAGGGAGCCCTCCATGAAGTAGAGTAGAACCGGGAGCAGCCCTCTCAAAAACGGCAGATGACTAGCGTTAGGAAAGTAGACATTGGCAAAGGTCACCACCGATTGAGCAATCTTACCCTTGGCCAACAGATAGCGACCCAGCAGATCCTGACGCACCGCGGAGAGGGACCAGGGCACAGATTTAGCTATTAAAAGGCTTACCCCCTTTGATTTGGAAATGAGTGAAGGACTGTGGTATACAATGGGGAAATCACGATTGTATAGCCGTGGAATGTGGGCAACTTGAAAGTGGGTCTCTTGTAGAAATGCCACCTGTGACCTATCTCTCTTCAAATCCAAAAGGAGTCTAGAGCACTTTTCAGGAACACCAAGGCCCTGGACATTCAGGGACGCTGTCCGTATTGTAAACGGTGTTTCCAATAATGATGAGGTGAGAGGCTAATCCAGAAGGTGGTTGGATTCACAAGTTCTATCTACACTCAGATACCTGCACGATTTGTTTCACCTGTGGTCACTTTATAATATTAGGAAACACCGTTTACATTTTTTCACCTTTAACATTTATATATTGGACTTTTTTTGCGCTTAATAAGTAAATATTATTTCACTTCACATTTGCACGTGTGATGTAACTATATGTATGTGTAATTTATGCACATGCGTATAGATTTAAGTTTTTGTTTTTTCATCTTTTGGGTGTTTGATTTGATGATTTTTGTTATTATCAAGCACTTATATATTTATTTCCATATTATTGTCACTATATTAGATTTGTGTCATTGGATTCCACATTCACTTTAATTTGAATGTAGCGCAGCATTTATATGGTTTATATTCACTTGATCGCTGTCCGTATTGTATCCATGGTCATCATGGAAGAATCTGAGTAGACCACAGTAAAACCGGAGACCCAAATCCCAGGAGGGAGAAAAAAGAGAATTGGGGGGGGGGGGGGGGAGAGAAAACAGGGTAGAGAGAAGGAAAGGGGGAGAGAAACAGCAAGGTGGTGGGCAAGAATGAGAAAAAGGGAAAGAGGAGGGAAGAAAGAAAAAAGGGGCGGGGCAGAATAAGAGACAAAAGAGGAAGAAAGAAGAAAGTGGGGGGGGGGGAGACAAAGAAAAAGAAATGGAGGACTGGAAAAAGGTGCAGGCCAAGAAGGATGAGAATATGGGGGGGAGGGTGAGTATCCAAAAGACTGTAAACAGTGTACGATTTCACAACTGCCATGGCAGACCCTAGAGGGGGGTAGTGGTAGGACTAGGAAATGAGGGAATAGAGAGGGGCCGGGGACCAGCTGACCAGACAAAATGAAGATTCAAACAATATTGTAGTCTGACAAAAGCGATACTAGAGACATTGTATGAGAGGAGCAACAGAAGTGTATCTATGAGCATGGTAGAGACATGTAGCTGACCCCCCCCAGGAGGGAGACCACGAGAGGTCTGTATGAGACCGACTCCGGCCTCCTTTTTGTACAGAGAAAGAGGAAACTCTGTGATATCAGCTAAAACACTATAATGGTTGAGATAATCGTCTGCATAATACGGTCACCGCAGGCCGATTATGCAGATATATATATATATATATATATATATATAAACATATAAACATACAGAGACTAACAGCACAGCAAAGAGATATCAGAGAGAAGTGAAAGGGTTAAGGTACTTGCCAAAGTCCTGGGTTAGCAGATCCAAGTTTCAGAGCAAAAGGGCACGGGTCTCCCCAGATGGTACTGATGTTAAAATGGGAGACGTCTTCAACTTAGACTCTTAGGCCTGACAGCCTATTTTGTCGTCCCCAGCAGGGGGTGTCTCTGAAGTCAAGGACCAATACCCCGTTTAGGGCGTGTAGGTATGGGTGGATACCTCAACTAGAGCCAAAATCTCCCGTAATTCATATTTTGGCCCATAACTTTCCAGGTGCGCAAGTGACATTCCACCCACGGGTAGATTATTATGCAGACACGTCTGAGGATTGATTAGATATGAATTATGAAATTATACACTGTACGGTTCACAAGATCTACTTTTCTGTTTTCCTATGTATCCGAGACAATGCGAGTGACCTATCAAACTGTTCACCTTCTCGTGGCCAATCTGACGATAGGTCCAGTTTTTATGCAAGTCTCTCATGTCCAACATATGAGACATAGGGGGAGAAATGGATTTTGAAAAGTGTTTATTTGATTCTGTCACCTACGCTGAGTTAGGTTTATTAGGTTGGAATCTCTTTCAACTCCTGGGAAAGCTTGCCTTACCTCTTACGAGGTGTTACAATTTGCAGGTTCTTTGGACAGGGAGGCCCCGGATCCTTTGGGGGCTTTATAGCTCCTATGACCCTCCTGTGACATTCCCAACTCACACACATACTGGCCAAATGTGGCTGGGCCTCTCTAAGGAGGGAGGGGGGAAGAATGAGGGAGAAATATATTTGTCAGGATGGTTAATCCCTTTGCCAAGATGGAGGTTGAAGCCAAAATGGTTTAACCACGTCCATCTCTGGGTATACGCTGTTACACCTCCCCCCTTAGGTGGTTGCATTGAAGGGGACTGCAATTTCCCTTCTGATGCAACCCACTTCTGCCGCAGGCTGGCCTGACCAGGGCACGGAGCCACTGTGCCCAAGGGTTCACCTTGGGGTGATATGCACTGCGGGAGACCCAGGTTCCTTTTGAAAAAGAAGCTGTTCTCCCCCTGCAACACTGCTGTGCCAACCAAGTGAGTAGTCATGGGTGAGCACCAGTCGGCTGTGGCAATCCGAATACTGTGGCGATTGCCGGGGTGCCTAGCTGTTCACAAAACACTTCGGCTCAGGGGTGTCATCTGCTAACATATTAATATGTAGCTTCTTGTCGAGGTAGAGAAGGAGATTACCCTCTCCCATCTTCGTCCTCAGGCCTAGGACTACATCTGGCCCGAAGGTAGTGGTGCTGTGTGTGCACTGGAACCGGACAGGCGAATTCTGGAACTTGCCTCCCAGATGTGTCCACAGTACCTTTATCCAAGATGAACAGTCCTCGTTACCTGCTAGCATCCAGGACACCAGTTCCTCCAGTTTCCTGTCTGCTAGGTCAGTCACAGGCCCAGCTGAGCCATGATAGTTGCACCCAGGCATCTTACCATAGCCAGCTGCACCCACGACTGACGTAACCTGCTTTTTGGCCTGGGGAGCAGACCAGGCCACCACTGCCTCAGTCTCCCCATGCCCAGACCTCTGGGGGTCTCTTCCTACTGGTGGTTCCCAAAGCTG